TTATTTGTCCAGAGAATGAAAGTCAACACATCTTCCCGGAATACAACATCAGGTATGCATAAAGAACAGGTAGGTAGGCATGGCTGGGGTCAATTTTCAAATCTGGCAGATACTATAGATCAAACAGCAAACTCCAGGAGGCCAGGGATTGCACTGTGGCCCACACTTAGTCATGTGGGGAGAGGTGGCTGATCAATATAGATTACTTCCTTGGATAGTGAAATCACTGGGAAGACTGTTAGTTTAACCCTTTATTTTACTGCCTTCCCCCTTCCCCACAATAAAAGAGGTAAAATGAGTTACCTATCTGGTAACTTTGCTAACTATTGTTAATTGACTTCTGAATTTCATGCCACACATTCTAAAGCTTTTACTCTTCAATGGTGTTACATCTAAGCCTATTTTAACATTTCTATGTTTATCTCCCCCATTTTTCTGGGTGGGGGACACACCTGGCAGTGCTCAGGGCTTACTCCTGGCTCTATGCTCAGGGATCACTCCTGGCAGAGTTTGGAGGATTGAATGAGGTGCTAAGGATTGGACCTCGGTTTGCTGTGCACAAGGCAATTGCCTACCCACAGTACTATGGCTCCAGCCCCGCCTCAGACATTTCAAACGGTATTCTAAAATGATCAGCATCTGAGCACTGAATTCAAGGGCATTCACAGCACGACCCAGTGATGTCACTAACCACTTTTCTTTCATGCCATTTCCCTCTCAGGTTTTGTGTCAGGATGAAGAGGCGGATCTGCCTGGTGAAAGACTGGCCATAGGGAATGCAAGAGTGAGTGACAAAACCTTATTTTAAACAAATTTTCCATGTAATCCCCTTTTAGCACTATTAGTATCATTAATCTGAAATCCTTTGAAATTTAATTATATCAATCTTAATCTGATCTCAAAGCCGTTAGGCTTAAAATAAATGCACTCAGTGGTACAATTAGAGCTTAGCATATGGGCATGAACACCATCCTGTAGACCAAGGGAATCAATCTCCCTTACCACACCAGAAGGCTGAGTCACCAAGAGAGAATGACAGACTCTAGTCGACCATGTGGGCTGGAGGCCAGGCATCCTAATCACATGTTCTTTTGACCCTGGGCAAGTTATTTCATTTCTATGGGCCTCGTCTTCCTCCAATTTCAAAATATCATTAACTCAAAGCAAAGAACTGACAGATAAGGTAACGATGAAAGCAAATAGAGTATGTTGGGAACATCTGTATGTGGTGACATGGTTGGTATGCATTTGGTATTAATGACTGAAACTGAAATAGCATTGGGGCCTGGGGAGAGAGCTCAATGAAGCCTGGAACATGCCTTGCTGGCAAGACCTCAAGTTCGATCCCCAGCACTGAATAGTATCCTGTCCCCAGCTCAGGAGGAGCAGCCCTGGGCGTGGCTTCGTTGGCCATCCCAGCACTGGTGAGTGTGGCCCAGGTAGGACCACAGAATCAAGTTCCTGGGCCCGAGCACTGAACTATCCATTAGGGTTGGCAAAGTATTGCAGGAAAGGACCCTCAGGGTCCCTGAGACTCCCCTCCTCCCAAACAAAACCTTAGTAGCAGCAAACCATTTGTTTTTAGCAGGAACTTTAGGACAAAAAGGAAACAGCCCAGTTAAAAGTTTTATAAAATCAATGATTCTGGGGGGGAGGGGCGGAAGGTACTGAGGAAACAATTTATTACATAGTTACACACACAAAGCAACAAAGAAGAGACTTTAGATGCAAAAGAGTAAAAATTGTTACTTGAGAGAAAGTAGATCTCAACAAGAATAACCTCTATGAGGGAGGCCAGCAATTAATAGTTGAAAACAGGGGCATAATTTGGGAAAGTGGGAAAGTAAAGAATAAAGTCCTTTAGTCTGATGCTTAAGAAATTGATAATCATATCAGTTTTTTTGCAGGGGAGGGGGAATGCTACCGGGGGTGGGGTGGGGAACAGACCACACCTGGCAGTGCTTAGGGGACCACATGCAGCGGGGAATTGAACTGGATTGGCTACACACAAGGAAAGCATCTTATATCTTATCCAATTATCTCTCCTGCCTAATTTTATTTTGGAAAGAACTTGCACCAGAAACAATTTCGTGGCATTACCTTCGCAGAAATTTATTATCCCAGTGTGGACTCCAAAAGGGAAACTGGAGACTCAAGTATCATAGAGATGAGGCATCAGAGTGAAGTTTGGCAAATCTCTGAAGATTTCTCACATTATTACACAGGGCATGTTTCACAAAGAGGAAATCCAAATGGCTAGTTGATTTGTGCTTTTAAACACTTAACAGCATCAGTCATTAGGGAAATGTAAATTAATTTCATAATGCTAACCCACTATATAACCAGACTGGCAGAAACTGCAAGTGCCTGACAGCACCAAGTGATGAGGAGGGCATGAAATTCGGAGTTCATGCATCTGGCACCAGTATTTAGACTAGCTCTGCATTTCTTATTTCCGTTTGTGATAACCACAACCACTCCAGTGTGTACCAGACTGCAGAGAGAAAACAGGAGCACTGACAGCAGCTCCAAACTGGGAGCAGCCCCAATGTCCATCAGCCACAAACTGGCTAAGTAAACTGTGGCATACTGTGGCAATGGAACCCCGGAGACACAGCAATGACATATGCCACACTGCAGCTAGACCACAACCCAGAACGCACATATATCAGAAATGATGTTGAATAAAGAGGAAAGCACAACAGATGACATGTTTCATTTACTGAAGTTAAAAAAAAAAAGGGCCAAAGGAAACAGTATGTTGTTTAGGGGATGTGCACTTTTGTCAAACAATAGAAAAAAAAGTGGGGAGCTGATTATCAGACAAGTTAGAATAACCGTTTCCTCTGGAGGGAGAGTGTTCTGGAGGTCACCAGGGGATTCAGGCCACTGGTTGGTTTTTTGACACCAAGGTTTCTTTTAAAACTACTCATTATACTGAATAACTGCTTTGTGCATTTCAGTGTATATTTCACAATGAAAAAATAAACACAAAAAGTAATTGAATACTGTATATGGCATTTCTGGAAAGAAATTTTGCCAGATAATTGAGCTTATGAAATCTTGGACAGTAAAAACCACTGATGTGGGATAATAAAACATTGATTAAATAGTTTCTCATATGAGCTCACTTTCAAGAGTAGGAGAAAAGCACCCTTATACAAATGCCCCTTTGTTGTATTTCAACCTAGTCTGCAGATCTTTATCACAAACAAATTGATGAAACAGGCAAAGAACTCTGGTTACCTAAAACTTCAGATTTTTTTTTCCAATTTTGAATTAACGAGGTGTTTTCTCTAAACTGAGAAAGATGAGGAAAGAGAGGTGGACCAAGTTCTGCAAGTATGAACTTCCTCCTCTCCAGTCTGTTCCAGCTGTTTCCTCCTGCTAGAAAGCTGCTGATGAGGTGGGTGATTTTGCCCAGTAAGCTGGGGGCAGCTGTTACTTCATAAGTAGGTGGCTGAGGACTGGAGAGTCCTAGTCTGTTTCCCAGAACTAAGATTCTTTTTCTTTTGGGTCATACCCAGCAGTGCTCAGGGTTTACTCCTGGCTCTGTGCTCAGGGAACACTCTTGGTGGCCCTCTGGGTACCACATGTGGTGCCAGCGATAGAATTTGGGCTGGCTGCATGCAAGGCAAGAGCCTTACCTGCTTGTTGTTGTATCTCTCTGCCCTAACAACTAAGATTCTAAGGTGAAGTTTCTGACAAAGAAATCAGACCCGAATGCCCAAAAACTGTTCATGTGGCACAAATTTCTTTGCTAGGTTGTAGAATCTGACATTTGCACTCATTTTAGGCAGAACCCTCTTTATACTCTCAGATGCACTATCCTTCCTCCCCCCTAATTTGTGTATTTAAATCCACTAGCTTCCACCAAACTAATACACAGAACAAAACCAAAACTTGAAAAAAAAATTTTGTATCCAAGTGGGGATGTGGCTGGGTGAGGAGATTCTGTCTTACTCAGAAGGGCAGGACAGGGGATTGGACTTGTAGCCGGTCAAATCCTGGGCAACATAAACAGGACAGTTAGCGGGCTCTTGGAGCTTCAGATCAGGGGCAGCTAACTTGGCTGCTACTCTTCAAGTCTCCTGGTTTCTGTGTCTTCCTCCTCCAGCTGGCCACTGCCTTTTGGGCATTCTTAAAAAAAAAAAAAACGACCTCCAGGATTTACTCAGCAATTTCCTTAGTCTGCTGTTTGTGTCTGGTGGGGCAGTGGTGGCACACCCCCTCTCCTTGCTTCCCAATCTGCCTACCATACACTCACTCCTATCCAAAGGTGGAGAACCTTGTAATATCCAGTCACTTTCAAGAGAGTGGGGTATGCTGGCAAGGGAAGTGTGGCATCGGCTTCCTTTCATCATTTGCTGCTGCTTTTATCTCATCCTCACACTCCTCACCAGGGCAGGTTCAAGACAGATTACAGCGGATTCCGGGCCTTTTATCTTGCAGTTAATTTTCTTAGAGAACTACACTTTCAACTTTCTCGAGTTTTTACTGGAATTTACTTCGCGGGCTAACATCTGTAGGAAAAAAGCTGCATAAGAGTTTAATTATTTATTTTCGAAAGGAACTAGGCTTTGAGTCAAACCTGAAACCCAGGCCACGTGTTTTTGATTAGCAACCCACCTCTCCCCCAAAACCTCAAGCCAGAAAGCAACAACGATTCCTAAAGGCAAGGCACTTCTAAGTTCTCCTGGAAGGAAAAAAGAAAAAAAAAAAGTCACATAGCCTTTCACCACCTCCCAGAGCCGGCCGGCTTTTGCACTTCCAAGACTCGGGATTCCGCGCTCCGTCCGCACCCCACTGCCTCCACCCGGGCTGGGGGGGTGCGGGGGAAGGTCCGCCTTGCAACTCTTGAGCTCCACATTGCGATGCAGCGCTCGCGTCTTCCACCGGCAGCTCGGAGCTCCACGCGGGCCACGTGAGCGCAGCCTGCCTTCATTCATTCACGCAACAAACTTTGGCTCGCCCGACCACGCGCTATTGGGCGCCGGGTCTCACCCCACACCCCGGAGAGGGTGGGGCGCCGGCTCCCCCGCCAGCAGGTGCAGCGGTCCTGCGGCGGCACGTCCCGCTCCGCCTGGCCTTGCGAGTGGCCGCTCGGGGGCCAAAGGCCTCACCTCCCGGTGGTGCGCGGCCGAGCCCAGGCTGGGGTGTTGGGGCCGTGCGGGCCGCTCCCCGGAGGAGCGGTCACCCCCGCCCTGCCCCGAAGGACGCGGCGCGGGCGCGAGCCCTCCCGGCCGTCCCGAGGTCAGGGCGAGGATCGGGCGGCAGCTGGGGCTCCTCTCGGCTCCTCCCCTTCCTCTCTTCAGTTCTGACGCGGCCGTAGAGGCGGCGGCGGCGGCAGCGGCGGCGGCGGCGAGTCCCGCGGCCCGTGGCGCACCCACCCCGCTCGCCGCTCCCCGACTTCCTCTTCCCTTGGCGCGTCATCACCGCGCGCCCGAGTCGCCCAGGGCGGGGTGGTTAGAAAGGGGAAAGGGGAAAAAAAAAAAAAGTCCCGCGGAGGCAGGCTGGGAGCGGCCCGGCCAGGGCGGGGGGAGGAGAGTGGTTGCTAGGCGACGTGCGTCATCGGGCTGCGCCGCCCTCCTCCCGCCCCTCTCTCTCGCTCTCGCTCTCTCTCTCCCTCTCTCTCTGGAGTGAGGCGAGAGCCCCGCACAGTGCGAGCGAGACAGCGAGCTGAGCTCCGGGCGCCGCCGCCGCGAGCGTGAGAGCGAGCGCGCCTCGGCCAGAGCCAGCTCCCGGGCGCCGGCGGCCGCCGAGACCTCCGCCCCGCGCCGGGCCGCCTCTCCCCGCCCTCACCTTCCCGGCCGGCAGCGGCGGCTGCACACACACACACAGACACACACACGCCGGAGCCGGAGCCCCAGCCGGAGCCCGAGCCCGAGCCGGCGGCGGCGGCTCGGGGGGGCAGGGAGGCGGCGACCTCGAGTCGGGACGAGGCAGCGGCTCGGCGGCAGCGGCGGCGACGACAGCACGTCGGGGACGAGCCGGAGCGTCTGGTCGGGAGCCGGCGCGCAGGACGAGGGACCCCCAAGGTGTCGGGAGGGGGGGTCCCGCCCGCCGCGACACATGCGGGAGCCGGGAGCGGGGGCGGCGCCGAGCGGAGCCGGCCGGGTCCCCCCCGTCGCCGCGGCTTCGGCCCCCCGCCCGCGGCCGTAGCATCCCGCCGCGGAGTGTATGCGCCGGGGCCCCCAGCGCCGCAGCCACCCCCCGGCCGGGGGGGCGGGGACCCCGATGTGAAGCGGCGGCCGGGGCGGCGGGAGAGCAGGACCGGCGCCGCCGTCCGTTCCGCACCCTCCCCCCCCTCCCCGGTGCCCCCTGAGGGGGGGGGGCCCGCCCCCTGGGCTCGCCGCCGGCCCCCCGGCCCCTCGGCGGGACTCCGCGAGGAGTTCTTAGAGCCCCCTCCCCCGCCCCTGCCCCGAGGGCGGCGGGGCCGGGGGGGACCCGGGGGGCCGGCCGCCGCCTCTGCGCCGAGGAAACTTTCTGACACCCCCCGCCACGCCGGAGCCTTCCCGACGGGCCGGGCCCGGGACAAGTGAGTGGCCCAGGACGGGCAGAAGCCGCAGCCTGAAGAGACCCAGGAAGAGGAAAAGCGGAGGTAAAGCGGGGCCGCTGCCGCCGCCGCCGCCGCCTCTGCCCCGGCAGCGCGGAAGAGACTCGTGGGGGGCCCGCCCCGTGGGGCGACACCGGCCCCGCTTCTGGGTCGGGATCCTGCCGGCCCCGCCGCCAACCCCGCTCCGGAGGACGGAGGGAAGCAGCCCGTTTGCCCCCGCGTCGCGGCTCTTCTCGGAAAGCGTGAGTGGTCCGGGTGCGGGGGGCGCAGGGGTGCGGGGTTGCGGGGTGCTCGGGGCGTGGGGTGGGGGGAGCGTCTCGTAGGGCGTGGAGGATGCCTGTGCATTCTCACGGAGCGGGGCTGCAGCCCCCCGACCCCAGGAGCGTGCCGAGCAGGTATCGGAGTTGCTGGGCTCTTCCTGGGTGTAACAGAGGAGCGTGCAAGTGGCTCCGGGAGGAGCTGAGGCTTCGCGAGTGGATGCCGGCACCTTCTGGCCGGTCACTGGCAGAGGGAACTAGAGGAAGCCAGACGTGTGCGTGTGCCTGTATGTGTGTGTGTGTACACAAGAGACACCGCTGTAATGCACCTTGGCCAGGCACACCCGGTGTGCAGCAGGCGCTGGGGTGTTGGTCTTTCACTTGGGGGCCCAAGAGGGCTCCGCAAACCAACGGAGTCCCTGAAAGTAAAATTCCTTCTTGGAGAGATTTTCCTTTCAGTCCAGTGGCTTTTTACCTTCTCGTTCCCTGGGTTTAGTTCATGTGTCAGGAGGTTACCTAAGGACTCAGGATCCTCAGACTTACCAGGATACTCAGGCTTCTTAGGAGTCACAACTGTTTTGGGGGAGAGCAGTTTAGTACTTGAATCAGCTTATGAAAGTCACTCGTTCCCCCCCTTTTTTTTTTTTCAAAGTAGTATATGTCCAAATCGCTAGCATTTTTCTATCCTTCTTGGCAGAATGATATAAGGCTTTCTTATTTGCATTATGTCTTTCCAGTGAGGAGAGATTTTTGATAACAATTTCTTTGCAGAATGACCTTTTTCTCCTATTATTTTAAAGGTGAAATGTGCTTTGATTTGTATCCTCAGAGTGCCCAATATGAAGGGCGAGAAAGTAGCATTTCATCCGTAGTATTGATGCAGACCCTACTGTTAGCAGAGTGCATTTAGCTCAGGGACCACTGCCCGGTAAGGCAGTCCCTTTGGACCCTCTTAGTTGGCGCTCTTTGATGCTTGGCCAGAGCAGCTTTTAGCAGTGTTAACCTGGCATTAAGGAGCCTCATTTCTCCTTTCAGTAGCTTGAATAAATTTATTTCAAACTTTATCCAACTTTACTGTTTTCATTTTCTTGCATTTCTCTTGCAAAGAAGTGAGTTCTGCAAGTACTGAAATCCTGTGATGCTTCCTTTATTTATCCCAAGCCATTCTCATTATTGTTCCAAGACATATTCAGGGTTTGTATTTTAACAAATACTAGAACAAGTTGTCAGTTTTCCCTGCTTTTATAGATTTGGATTGTTTTCTCTTAACTGTTATTTTCCTTGACTCTTTTTCTTTGCCTGAGAATAATTTCTTTTCTCTGTTTGATCACTTTGCCTCCTCATGTGCTTTGCCAACTTTTCTCCGTTAGATGTCTTGTTCTAGTAATGCTTTTGTAAGGAACCTTAAATCCTATGTTTCTTTTTTAAAAATTTTTTACTTGGGGCCATACCCCCTGATGCTTAGGGATCACTCCTGACTGTTGTGGGGAACCATATATGGTGCGAGGGATCACACCTGGTTTGGCCATGTGCACGGCAAGTGTCCTATTGCCTATTGCTGTACTATCACTCCAGCCCCAACTCTGTCTAAAAGGGTACTGAAATAAAAATAATTGAGTAATGGATGGAATATTAGATGTGGAATCAGAAACAAATGTCTCTGGGTCTGTTATCTTAGTGACCTTGAGGAATTTACGCATCCTATACTGCACAAAAATGGGAGAAAGAAATCCTAAGTTTGTTTTGGAGAGAAAGGAAGGACAAGTCAACAAACTATAGTTTGTACTTTTATCAAAGATGCTTACTAATTTTTAAACCTACTTTAAATTTTTTTCAATTATTATTTTCCTAAGAGTCATATACAGCAGTGCTAGGGACCTGGGGACCAGTCACAATGGTGCTCAGTACTGTGGTGCTCTGTGCGTAGTGCTGGGGGTCACCAGGGCCAAATCAGGGGTGCTGGGCCTACCGTGTACAGACAGGCATGTTCTCCACCCATTCGAGCCACAGCTCTGACCCAGACTTATTTTTTATTGCTTTGATTATAGCTTGGTTAAAAATCATGGTAACTTTTTAAAAATTTTTTTATTGTGTATTTGAGTAGCAAAGTATTGGCAGTTTGGAGTCCTTAGAGACTTAACAGATGCTTTTACTTAAGGATGATCGAAACAGTGAAGTAAATTGCACAAAATTGTAGGAAAGGCGAAATGGATCAATGTTTCTTTGAGGTCCCCATATGTCAGATGCTGTATATGACTGAGCCATATAGACTACCTGTCTTGACACCTTGCAGGTATCTGAATATGTTTGTATTCTTTCTTAGGCGACTGTTGGTGTCAGACAGTAGAACTAAAGTGCCTCAACTGAATCTGGGAAGGTCTGTTTTAGGAAAAGAAACAAAGACACAGTTCCAAAGAGTTTTAGAATAAAAGGGTGAGAGGGACAAGTGTAGTGAGAAAGCTAGCTTGCAGGGGAGCCACTGAGATTGTTAATGAGACTTAGGGTTAGTTTGTTTATACATGGTTGTGGCCCAAAAAAGCAATTGAGAGCAGTACCTGTGAGGGTAGTGTTAGATGATTGAGATTAAATTCCCTTTAGATCAGGAGACATACCTGGATTAGCATTTTGTTTTATTAGGGAACTAACATTTTTACACTAGAATCACTGAGGAACATCACAGGTAGAGGAATGAGAAAGATGCTTTTGGGGCCGGAGAGAGAGTACTTGTATATGGCTGACTCTGGAATCTCTGGCACCTCATAGTCTCCAGAACTGTGTGCAGCCCTGGAACCTCCCTTCCCCCCAAATAAGGAAGGTGCTAATGTTGTGGTTTCTTTTGAAAATCATCAGAAATGGGGTAATGAATTTGTTTTTTTGATGTTAAGTTTTGGGATGAAAGTTTTGAGACAATACTTATTCTATTGAGTACTGCTCTGAGCATGTAGAATCATTTTCAGTGTACATTAAGTTTTAAAATATTACGGTTTCTCACGAGTGCTGATAGAGAGGAAATAGTTGAAAAATGGATATTTTTTATATAGAAGAGGTGACCTACTAAAGTAAGTAAGATACAGTAAGAACACAGAAGGATTCCCCCTAATATAGAGGTTTTTAAACTGAAAGTTGAAATTGAGGGCTGGACAGAAGTACAGAGGTTAAGGTGCCTGCCTTGTATGTGGCCAGCCCGGTTCATTCCTTGGCATCACAGGTCTCCTGAGCATTTGGTAGGTGTGACTCAAACACCCACTCAAAACAAAACAAACCAAAAAAAGTTGAACTTGAAAAAAGGTGATTAGGTAAATTGTTTAGTCCTAGAGCGTATCTATTTTATATTTTTGAAACAGCTACAAGCTGTTTGGAGACTATGTAGGTTCCTTGAGGTTAATAAACCTGTGATTTCATTGTTAAGGAACTTATAAGTAAGAGGAGAGATTTGTTTCCACACATCAATGTTTTTAAAGTTTGCCTTGCATTATTATTCTGTATTTGGTATTAACGTAATGAAGTGGGGCTAAAAATAGCTGGCAGAGAAGGCTGCTTCCCCTGCTTGCAGTTGGTGTGTCTTTGTGTCCCATACAATGGAGGGGATATCCCTGTGTTGGCACAGCAGTGCTGAAATGCTTTGTTTCTAAACTTAAAAAATAAAAAAAAAAACCCTAGCAGATTGGCATTTAAAAATTCAGGCATTTTTGTAGCATGCGGTGCTGGAAGACAAGGATTTAAAAAAATATATTTTGTGTGTGTGTGTGTATATGTGGTGTGAGAAATCTGCAGCTGATAGCATTTTGTGTTGATTCTAGCAGGATTACTGTTTTTGAGGTTGGGAGGGAGTTGATGTATCTCCATACTTTTTGTGTTTTGTAGTTCGACTTTTCTACTTTCTTAGTAATTTATTTGGCCCTTGGAGAAGAGGATCTAAGATGATCTAAGGTGACAGGGAGATCTAAGGTGATCATAGTATGAGTATGGACACCTTCTCTCTCTTACTTTCTTTTTTTTTTTTTTTCCTTTTTTGGTCATACCCGACAATGCACAGGGCTTACTCCTGGCTCTGCACGCAGGAATCATTTCTGGCGGTGCTCAGGGGACCATATGGGATACGGGGAATCGAATCTGGGTCGGTCACTTGCATGGCAAATGCCCTACCCCCTGTGCTATCGCTCCAACCCTTCTCTCTCTTACTTTCAATTTTGCACAGGTAAAACCTTGCTTAGATGAACTTAAAGGGAGACCTTTTAGGGTTGACATGATATTTAGGTAACCATGTTCTTTGCTACGACTGAGGAAATGGTTAGCGCCTTGAGAAGGGTTTGTGTTTGAGTTGTTTAGCATTTGATGAGCCAGAGCCCACAGCTACTCTATCAGCAACTCAATTCTTTTTCTTTCTTAAATTTTTATTAGTGAAACACCATGAGGTACAGTTGTAGATTTGCAAAGTTTTGTGCTTGGGTTTTGATTATATAATGATAAGTACCCATCCCTCCACCAGTGCCCATTTTCCACCACCATGGATCCCAGTATCCCTCCCACACCCATCATCCCATCCCACCCTGCCTCTGTGGCAGGGTATTCCCTTTTGTTCTCTCTCTCCTTTTGGGTGTTGTGGTCTGCAAAAGAGGCATTGAGTGGCAATCATGATCAGTCCATAGTCTACTTTCAACATGTATCTCCCCTCCTGGGAGGATCCTCCAAACACCCTTTATTTGGTGCTTCCTTCTCTATCTGAGCAGCTCAGTTCTTGTACTTAGGGATTCTCCCCTCTCCTCCCCCCCCCCCCCCCCCCCATTGGGGAGGGCTTGTGATGTCTCTGCCATTTCATTGTGTAGAGGAGCTTTTGGGAAACTCTTTGTAAAGGACCTGTCTGTAAATATTTTGAAACACATGTTATCTGTCACAGCTCTTCAACTCTGTTCTTGTAGTGTTCATGAAAGTAGCCATAGACAATACATAAGCTAATGAGTGTTCCTGTGTTCTTGCTAAACCTAGCACATAACAACAGGAGCCAGGCTGGGTTTGATCCGGTTTATGGACCCCCGATGTAGACAATTGCTACAGTGTAAGCTTTACTTCATTGCAAAGCTGATTTTA